CATGGAAGAGCGCTTTTTGCAGATGGAAGAACGACGGTTTCAGCGAGATTTGGACGTGGAGGAGCGCCGGCTGCAACTGGAGCAGCGACGTTTTGAACTGGAGCGGGAGCATGAGTTTCGCATGTTCAATGTTTTTGCTCAGATGCTCAGCATCCTAAAGCAGAGCCACAGCGGCTCTTCCTCTTCCCTTGCAATACCTCGGGGTTTGGACTTCAACCAGGCACTGTCCGAAATTGCTGGCATGGGAGGAGGAGGAGGTGGTGACCTGCAAGAGGCTAGAGCCGTGCAACCAGGTCGGCCCCTTCCCGAGAGGAGGTTTGACATGCACGGTTTCTGCAACCCCAGCGAGTTCCAGAGGAGCCCCTACCTCTCTGCTCGAGGCAATGTTGTCAATATTTTTCGAGGCTCCACAGAGGAAGGGTACGAAGCCTACCATGCTGACAAGTATGATGAAGACAAGAACCCCAATGTGAGTGAGATTCTTGTAGTATTTATGTGGCTGTCTTGCTAGGAAAAAAAATCTTTCCTTAGAGATTTGCTGATAGATCTGCCAAATTTTTTTTTTTTCTGGATCTCATAAATACATGTTGGGTCAACTTTTTTTTTTTTTTTAGGAAAAAAAATGAAAAGTAGCTATGCAGATCATTTATCAAAGATAAACATTCTGTTCAGCAAAGGTTTGCATGTTGTAATTTTCCTATCAGAAGCTGGTAGCAGTAGTACACTGCAGAAATCTGCAGGAACATGCAGAACTCCTGTTCTTCCTTTTACCTCATGACTTTGGCTGTCCGCTGAAGACTGATCATTGATTATCTGATTATTACTGGTGATGGTGCAAGAAATAGAACAACTAGGTAGCAGACATTTGGAAAAAATGTTGTGTTTTTTTCTAAGCTAACATTAAGAACTTTTCCTGCCTGTGTCCGTTTCGTTGTTCGCTTTTAAGTAGCCTGTCACTCCCCCCCTTGTGGCACAAACGCTAAGTGTTCATAATTTATAGTAAATAATTCAGTTTTCTCAGAACTGTTTCAATTTTTTTTTATTGTCAGATGTGTATACTAATGAGTGAATTCAGGATTAAGTTAAACATATTCTGTAGAGAAGTATAAACCGTTAGTACATACTCATTTGTAGAGAGTTTATTGACTAAGAAGCTGATCACCTGAGATAGATGTACGTAAGGGCATACGCACACATTCACACACACATGCATCTCTAGTTATATATGTTGAGGTTTATATGAACTGTGTTTTGACTTTTCCTTGGTAACCTTTTCTGAGGTGATTTAGTGAAGTGATAGCTAAGGTGAGGTACCCATATGTCTTTTTATGTTTATAAACAATACGTTATTTCTTCTTCTAGGGTATAATTAATTTTGGCACCAGTGAAAATAAACTCTGCTTTGACCTGATGTCTAAACGGGTAAGTCAAATTCCAAAAAGAAATATAGAATGTGCTGTGTAATTCTTCCTTAGTGTTTATACTTTCCTTGATTTATTGCTATTGCTCAGATTTCTCTGGTAAAGTTTTTTCTCATTAGTTTTTTTTTGGAAGTCACTTCTGAGTCCAGCTATTTGTATGTTTCTTTATGTTATTTTTCCAGAAGGATAGGCATAGAGGTTGTTTTTCTGTTCCCCTTCATTGTGGGGTTGCCTTTGGGGATGTTCTTGGCTCACAGAACTGAATGAAAATAAGATATATTTTATTTTCTTCTGCTGACAGTGGTTCATTTAATACAGAGGTTTCAAAATTAGTTTTGAACTCTCTTTAATTTCAAGGACCTTCAGATGTTGGGACAGAAATAGTTGACCCCGTCCCTTATAAAGTTACACAATTTGGACATCCGGCTCTGAACTTATCCAAAATTTGAGAGGGTGGCAACAGTGAACTGTGACATCTCTTGAATTCTCTTGAAATCCGTTAAACTGGTTCAGCTGCTAGTTGGTCGCACAAACAGCAGAGCTCAAAAAAAAAAAGAAAAATCCAAAAGAAAACAAAAGCACTGTGCCTTGGATAAATGTTTCTTGATTTCCACTAAAATTATTGCCCAGATTCAGACTCCTAGGTGGGAATACTGCAATTTTTCCTACCTGTAGTTGCCTGTGGGGAGGTAAGGGGTCTCAGTTTCTGGCAGTCAGTCTCTGTGGTTTGAAGTTCACTGTTACTCCCATTCCACCAGTTCCCACCCTCAAAATGTTCCTTGTTTTATTTCTGCTTGCCACGCCACTGCCTCGGGGGGACGCTACCCCACCACTCGGCCTTCCAGCTAAAAGAACAGGTAAGGCAGAACTGCTGCCTAGTAGCTGTGCACAAAAAAGGTGCCTTCTAGGGTGTGTAGGTTTTACCTTCCTTCATTCACTCTGTCCTTTCTCCTTTAAACTAACATAAAGACTGCAGTTAGTAGAGTATGGAGGAAGACAGTAGTCAGTTGCATCTTAATTAGCCTTATTATGAAAATAAGAATTCATCAGCAATAGTCAGATGAACCATCGTGCTTATGGCAACAAGATGAATAAAGATATTGTTTCCAGCGTCTTAATCACTGCAGTCTGGAGTGACAATGTGGATTTACCGAATGCAGTACCGTCTGGGATTGTAGGAAACCTGAGTTCTTGCTGTTTGGGACAGTAGATGCTTACTGTTTCCGCTGAATAAAGTAATGTATCAGATTTCAAACTTTAACTTTTGACCCTTACATTAGAGAAAATTCTGTAGCATGAGATCTCAGATATTCTTCATTTTGGTTGGCCCATCTGGTTTTCTTAGCCCTTGCAGCATTACCTTTAAGGGTTCTCATCTTTATTATTGCACAGTAATTTTTGGCCAAGTCTGCTGATGTGTTTTGTGTTGCATTCTCTAGACAAGTTTAGGAGAGAGATCTAAGGAGGCACAGTTCTGTGCTACGTAGGCTTCAAGAGGCATCTACAGATGAATAAAGGAACTTTAATCCTACAATATCAGGTTGTAATTCTGCATGGGATGAGGACAGTGTCATTAAACTCCAGAGCGTGGCACAAGTTATCAAAACGCGAATACAGAATGTTGTGTTTTTGTTATTATGTGATAAGCTTTCACACTGCATGTTAAATTTCCCGCCCCCTTTGTCGCAACCACCTACTTATTTCCACCCTCCCCCCTTTTAATATCAACTCACATATTTGGTTGTCATCAAATATTTTGAAGGTGCATTGTACATTAAATGTGTCTGTTCCCTTTTTGTTTATCTAAAACATCCTCTTTTCTCTGCCCCGATCACCACTGTGCTTTCCCTTGCAACTTCATAGAACTGGATTATATGAAAACCTGGTATTTACAACCTTGAAAATATTTTGATAAAAGTGCATATAGTTTATCTAAATATAAATATAAAATGGGCTCCAGAGCTTGCGCGCAATTCAAGCGAATCTGTCTTTGAGACCAGAATGAGCATCTAGTAAGGAACAAAGTGTCTGCCCCGGGGAAGACATTCAAGAAGATAATTGTATTTTTCTCTTATCTTTTGAAATCTCCTGTTACCTTTTAAAACTTGCCAAACTTGTCAGAATTACAGATCTGAAGGGCCTGCAGTAACTTGGAACAGAGACCTAAATTAATGCTAGAATTCATTTAAAAAAAAGATACTAAAAGTTTATAAACGGAAATATATATCTGACTATATTTCAAAATCTTTTCTGTGCCTTTCTGACAATCCAGATCTGAGCTTTCATGATGCTAAAGCTTTCATGATTGGGACTTAATTCCTGGTTGAAAGCTGTTGTCTTCCGAACCTGGGGAGAGATCCTTGGGACTTTTTGGATTGCTTCATTTGTTTCAGAAAGTGTTTTGCAGGAATGTTTTTAATGGACATCCTTTGTACTGCCTGTTTTGCGTCCTTATAGATTTCTGTGCAGTGACATTTTCCTGCATTAACTTCTCTGCATGGTCAGTGGCTTTCTAAATCCAGTTTTAAGGTTGTTGAAGTCTGTGTGTGTGTGTGTGTGTGTCCAGGCAGGTGTGTGCCTATCCATGGATCCTGTCTATTTCCATGTCTCTGGTATCAGTGATTGTGCTTTTCAATGTTTCTTCTTGTTGCTCACAGCTGACACAGACTGATATGAATCTCATGGAGCCACCACTGCTTCAGTATCCTGATTGGAAGGGACATATGTTGTAAGTCTTCTCATTTCCCTAATGCTTCTCTTTTTGAGTGCTTGTCTGATAAACAAAATGGATAAATACACACCGCTTCTGCTACAATGATTATTCACAACTTTTCTAGCTCATTTAATCATCTTTTTCTTTCCGAAACTGTAAATTGGTCACCCTACCAGTTCATCCAGTTAAAAATCCTCATATGTGGGAGAAGATGCTAACTTTTCTAAAGCAAACACAATTTTAAAAGCACTATATGCATTAACGAGTTAGGTAACTTGAAACAGTTCTCTGACATATAGTGAAAACTTGGACACTTTAATCCGTCTGTTCTGTGTCTTGATTAAAGCTCTTCAGAAACGCATGCACAATTATAGACATTATCAATGACACCTTTGCCATGTGTAAAAGTCATGTTTGTGGCACGAGCCTGAGCAATCCTTTTTTCTAGCTATATTCATCAATCTTTACTGTTCCCTAGCTTTTTTTTCCTGATATGTGGAGCTGGGGCAGCCCAGCCTCTGGCAGAATAAGCTGAATCGATATTTGCTTTTGTCTCTTTCTCAGTTTACGGGAGGAAGTGGCTCAATTTTTGACCCATTACTGCAAGGCCCCTGCACCTCTTAAGGCAGAAAATGTGGGTAACCCACCTTCCATTGGTGTCTCTTCTACTGTATTGCCATTTATTGTCAAACATTTTCATCTTATTTTTTTAAACAAATGATTAATTGTAAGATAATAGGCTTTTATCATGTGTATGAGAGTTGAATCATGGCCATTTTAGTAGCTTTTGATGCACACTTCGGATAACACACTTTAGTTTTACTTTGTATTTCCCTTATTCTTTGCTCCTGTGTCCCAACTCCTCATACGATACATCTCAATAGGGCTTTATGTTTGTATCTCCTTATTCAGCACTGGGACTTACGGTGCCTGTATTCCTCAGTCTTGACTAAGAGTGTCTGTTGTTCCACCCTAATTTAATTTTGTATTGTTCTGCTGTTGCCCCTCAGGACAAAGTCCGTAACTGAGCCAAGGCTAGTTTTGTTCTATAAAAACAGACACTTTCAGACTTTGTGTCAGGATTCAGGGTTTGTGCCAGGAAGGCGTCAAGAGTTGAGTCTTTGCAGGGTTTGCTGACTTGAGAGAGATGCAGGTTGGGCTCCTGTGCGCATGCACGATAAAGGACTCCTGCTTTCTCCTGAATTCTAAAGGCGGCAGCAGCTGCAGCAGTTGCTCTTCTGGCTGCAATAACTCAGCAGAAGCCTGTACTTCACATAAACTGAAGTTGTCACTGATCAGTTCGCTGATCACTGCCTCTCCAAGGCAGCAGATTGTACCTGATAACTTGAACTGAAACTCAGGAGATCTGTGAGCGTCTGTCTTCTAGAAGCAGGCATCAAACACAGCAGTTTCCGCTTCTGCACAAACTCAGCAGGAGGTAGGCACTGCTGTTACCACAAAGAGAAGATAATACAGGTTAGCTGATGAAAAATACTTTGCTTTTCTAGCAGTTCAGAACTGCTCTGCAACTGTTTTCCCTACTTAAAATCTACCCTTTCTCTAAATACTGTATTGCTTATTAGAAACAAGAAAGGCACAGGGACGAAGTATCTCTGAAGCAGAAGAGAGCACCAAAGTTATCTCTGGAAGTGGGATTTTAGCAAGAAAAGATTGGGAACCTCCATGCCAGAAGATTAGGGAGAGAACATATTTCAGTTACATTGTTAGAAATTATTTTTATAGTATTGACCTTCTATGGACAGATTTATCACTAGTCTCTCTCTTTCTTCTATAGGTAATTGTGTTGAATGGTTGTGGCTCCCTGTTTTCTGCATTAGCTACAGTCCTTTGTGATCCAGGGGGTAAGTGGATGATTGAGAGATGTTTTTAAAGTTTATTTTTTGTTAGGAAACAATGCTACTCCGTTTAAATATTGTATGATGACAGTGAAATAGTGGAATTGGCCTACTAGGAAGTTCTTGTTTCCTGCAACGTTGTATTGTGAAATTCATTACCTCCCCAGTCTGTAGATCTCATACTTTCTCTCTTACCCTGCCTCTCTCTGCTGTTTTGGTGATGCTGTGTTTCTTTTTGCTAGATTAACTGTGGGCCATGTACGCGTTTGCTGGGATACTGAGAATGGATGTTCAGTGTCTCAGTTCATGCAGAAGATAAAAAAAAAAACTGATGTAAAAAGAAAGTGGGCAAAAAAGGGTAACATTAAAATGCTTCCAGAGGGCACAGCTGTAAAGAGAAGCTTTCATGTTTAGCTGAAGTGCTCTAGAATAAAGAGACAGACTATGACCTGTCGATAACTAACCTTGTTTTCTTGGTTTCAGAAGCTGTTCTGATTGCCACTCCCTTTTATGGTGGTATCACCCAGAGCGTGTTTCTATATGGTAATGTCAAGCTGGTGTATGCCTGTTTAGACAGTAAGGTAAGAACTGAGGGAAGGGAATATGGACCTTTGCAGCTAAAAAATAGTTGATACTGGAAGGTGCCAAGCTTTAGGAACCTCTGAAACAGTCCTCAGGACAAGGCTGAACAGTAGCCTGTGGATGTTTTCCCCAATTATTGCTGGGAAACTGGGACATATAATTTTCAAGAACCTTGTTCAAGGTCCTGAATCTGGATTCCAGTCTTGTCCCTGTCTTGTATCTTACTCCCAATAAACATGTAATAATGGCCCTTGAGGGGGCAAAAAAAAAAAAGCCATAATGAGCCTTGGAGACAGAACTATGTACTGTCCTACTAAGGATGGTCCCGGGGTGGAAGAGCACATGAAGATCTTACATTGTTTTAGTTATTCAGGGATAACCAGACAATTCACTGTGTGTGGCCAGTCTATTATAAACAACTGTTTGATTTTATTTACTTATTTATTCTCTCTGTAGTGTAAAAGGATAAGAGGATGGAAGCTAGGTCATTGTTGAATTTCATTTTGTTTTGGGAAACATTTCTCAGCGGAATGGCTCATGGCAGACTCTGCTGAAATAAATTGGACTTTTTATCTTTGTGGTGTCTTTCAGATCGCTGGAACAAGCACTCGGCCTTTTCAGCTTACAGTGGACAAACTGGAAAAGGCCTTGCAGGATGCCCAGGCAGAGGTGAGTGCAACTGTGCTTTGTATTAACAACTGAGTCTACAATGTACTTCAGCTGACTGGTCCTGGAAGTGGCCTGAAGCTAAAAACCTTTTCAAAACCTAGACAACGAGAATGTCAGGTGCTTTATAGACAAGCTGAGATCAAGCTGCCTGCAAATCCCGTTTGTATTTGTGGCGGATTACTTAGAGGCAGTTCTAGGAGGAATCCTGAGGTGTCATGTCTCTCTAATTTTGGTCACATGACATCATTGCAATAGCAGAAAGGCTAGACTGGGAGTGCTAGGCCATTCAGAGAGTACTGGGACCCGTTGCTATCGCAAAACTGTGTACTTGGGCACACTGTAAAAAGTAGGGATTGCCTAGGGTTTGTCCGTCATGAAGGCTAAGCTGAGTTACCCCAGAACTGACTGCCGCTACAAGTAGCGTAGATGAATCCGGTAGGACCAGTGTGAGTGTTTGCAGAAGGGAGCGAGACGCAAATCTAGAAGATAAATGCGGTTGAGAATTACCTTTATGTATATTTAGTCTGGTAGTTTTGACATTGTCCTGAAGCCATGTTTTAGTTTTGCTGCATCTTTAGTTCATTACTGGCTCTGACATCTCCCAGCCAAACATGCACTTTGCATGTGAGCAGTTTGCATCCAGGTAGCTCGATTGCCTCTCTGTCTTGCCTCATTCATGGGCAACCTTCACTAGTCTGTTACTTCCCAACTACTAATATAGCTCACAGGAACTTCTCTTCCAGGCTGTGAGGAAGTGTGAGAGCATTTTTCTCTTAAATAGGTTTACCTATTTACAATGATCGTGGCAGACTCCCTCTCTTCAATACCGTAGGTTAATTCCTATGAGGTATGTCCCTCAGTTCACTTTGCACTTTGCAAAAGAGACTTCATCTGTGGCTAAAAATTTTCTCAGTTTTCTCATAAAAATCTAATCTTTGAGGTGAGATGTCATGGTGGAAGCCTGAGTTACCGTGAGCTTAATGAGAGTCTTGTGTCTCACTCACTGCCCTAGCAGACTGAAAATTTATCCTGTGATGAATGCTCTCCTAATATTGCACTTCTCACATTCTACAGGGTGTCACTGTAAGGGCCTTAATTCTTCTGAATCCCCAAAATCCCCTAGGGGACATCTACTCCTTGTCAGAGCTACAAGATTACCTGGAATTTGCTAAAAGGTATGTCTGTTTGGAAGACTGAGATATCTTGAGTCAGACACAGCTTTCAGACTCTGGTGGGCTACTCACTGTCCATTAATTTTTCTGTGCATATCTCTTAAGTCAGGCAAACAGTCTTGTTCTTTGCACGCAGCAGCAGGCTTAAGAGGAGAGAAGGGAGTGGTGGGGATGAGGGACCATGGACTGTGCAGTTATCTGGAGTGGCAAAGCAAATTGCATCACATAGTACTTGGGGTCTGAGCAAACAGCATGGTGCTGTGCTCCTTTAGTAGGAAACAGAGTTCATTTTCCTACAGTTTTTCTGTATGTACATAGGAAAAGAAATATATGAATACGGGTTCCGAGCTTTGTCGTGGATCACTGATTCTCTCTGAAGTTTTGTCTGTTCTGAGTAGATGATGATACAACTTATTCTAGATGGGTAATACATAGGGAGTTAATTTTCTCAGGTGCATTGGAAATGGTTGAAAACTTATTATATGGTTGCAGTGAGCGACAGCTGGATATATCTCAGATCAATTCAGTATACATGTAACAGACCTTCTGAGTTCTGGAAAATTCCATCTATAATGATCAGTTCTGCAAAATTTGGTGTCCCTGTTCTTAGTATAAAGCAAGGCTTTCCAGGGTCCTGAATTTGTCTTTGCTTCTAAGCTAGAAGCAGCCTTCTTTTGTAATTTCCATTTTGTCCTTTTGCAGACATGAATTGCATGTGATAGTAGATGAGCTCTACATGCTGTCAGTTTTTGACGAATCAGCCACGTTTCACAGTGTCCTAGGCATGGACAGGTAAAATCAGCTCCTACTTCCCTGGCCATCTTCCAGTGACAATTCAACATGATGCCTTGCTGAGAACTTGTGACTGGAAGTTAAGTCATGAGCTAGCAAATTCTGAATCTGCCTTACATTGACTTTTTGTAGTTTCTGAACGGCAAATGTGTTTTGTCAAGTGCAATCTAGCAAGGAAAGAAAGGTAGTCAGCATTTTGTTGTGATAAATTTTTTTCAATGTATGCTTCCCTATTTGCTTCTGACGGTTCCAAAAACCTGGAAATAGATGTTTCATTTCTTGTGAGTGATGCTTTTCTTTGCTACCTAAACATTGTTTCCTCTTTCCCGTGATTCAGTTGATGTAAAGAGTTTCTGTTGCTGTTTACTTTCTTTTTTCATACGGTAGTCACGGCATCCCAGTGCTACTAAAGATTTGAGAATGTGTTTTATTAGGTATTGATCTAATGAGATGAGAAGTTTTGCAAATCTCACCTTTTAAAAATATGCTTTATTTTATTTTCTTTTGCGTTTTCACCCGTGGTGCTGTCTTCCTTTTTGTGTTCATTTACAAGGACATAAAAATATGCTTGGTTAACTGTTAGCTCAGTGCTGCTGAGTTTGGATGTACAACATTGCAAAGGAAGAACTTCATCTTCAAAATGTTGGTGTTTGAAAGAAAGAAAGTTCATTTAAATTCTTGGGAAGTATATCGGCCGGGGCCTGATTTTTAGCACTGAGTGTACAAATTGTATATGTGCAGGCTTCAAAGTCATGCAGAAGATTTGTGTGTGAAATATAGCACTTGGTGCAGGCATCTGTATATCAGAAATATTTTAAAATTGTGTCTAAAACTGATTCCCAGAGCTCCTAGCTTCTGAAGTTAGGTCAGATTTGAATTGTCCCTACTTGACTGATGTTCCCTGCTGCACTGTCTGTCATTGTATAATGCCACCTCTCTGTTTTTGCAATGCTTCACGGGTGATCCAAAAGCTTCAGCACCTATGACACTAACTGCCCATCTGCATCCTTCTACATACAGATTGCCTGATCCACAGAGGACTCATGTGATGTGGGGAATAAGCAAGGTGAGTGTTGGTTGCCACTGTCCTGGGGCTTCCCAACAGGCACGATTGGCCTGGTGTCCTCAAGTCCCTTGCACTAGAAAGAACGAAGCAGTACTAGTAGGATCGCAGTCTTCCGGTGTAATAAAGTAGGCTGTCTGTCTTTTCTGCAGGATTTTGCTGTCTCTGGGATTCGCTTTGGTACTTTATATACAGAGAACCAAGATGTTGCTAATGCAGTGGCTTCTTTGTGTTATTTCCATGGGGTTTGTGGAACTGTCCAGCACAAGGTTGCACAGCTGCTTAGAGACAGAGGTGAGTCAGTAGCTTAATGGATGGTCCTCTGCTGTTCTTTATATCTCACTACCTCAGAGGATCCTGTCCCCTTACTTTCCCAAATGATTTCTTGTTTGTACAGCTTAATTGACAGTCTTCCATAATCCTGAAGCTGCCTGCGTAACACATGGCTGACAGTTCTACAGAAAAGGAACATTTCTGCAGAGCTCCTCATGAGTTGAATTAGAGGACAGCTTTGAAGAAGTTTTAATAGTTTTTCATACAGAAATAGCTAGCGTTGCACAGAACCAGCTGAGCAGAAACAAAAGCATACAAGCTTGTGGGAAGAGGGAAATGGAATTGGATTTCTGGCTTTGCCCTGGATGGAGTGCTAACAATCCACAGCAGCTAAGAGCAATACATTTAGGGAAACTTCCTTAGAAAAGTACAGAAGATGTTATTCTGCACAGACGTGAAGCTACTAAATAGTTCTCACCCCCCTTTTTGTTTTTGAGGCAACAGAAAACAAAAAAAGGAAGGTGTAATGGAAAAGGGTGAAATGGAAAAAGGCATTGTGAGTGTTTTGGAAACTTATACATGTCTAAATTCTTATTCAGTTTGCACTTTTTTTCTTTATCTTCTCCCTCTGATTAGACTGGATCAACCAGGTATACCTGAGGGCCAACCATGCCCGCCTAAAAGCTGCCCATACGTATGTGACAGATGAGCTGAAGACACTTGGGGTTCCTTTTCTCAACCGCAATGCAGGCTTCTTTGTCTGGATTGATTTCCGAAAGGTTGGTAGTCTTAAGAAAGGAGGCTTCTCCTGGGATGAGGGCAGGCACCTTGTGCAACGGAGCCTAGAGGAAAGTTTAATATAGTGATAAACATCTTGTTAAAGCCTCGTCTGTTGTTCTGATGAGCAGAAGGAAGGGCCTTTCTGTATGTGCTCTTCCTTTAGTCTGTCTGTGCATTTCCCTCCTTGCAGGAATCTTACCGCTCTCAAGCCACTTTCCTTCCCATTTCTTCCTTTGTATCACAACTGCTGTACTTCAGAGGTAAAAGGTGTCTCCCCAGGCCTTCGCAGACCTCATGGGAATCACAGATTCATGAGGATCTCAGTGAGCTGGCATGTATGTTACTAACCTCTGGCCCTTCTGCTAACTCTCCTAGTACCTTAGGACAGGAACATTTGAGGAGGAGATGCTGCTCTGGAGGCGTTTTCTCGATAACAAGGTCCTGCTATCCTGCGGTAAAGCCTTTGAATGCAGTGAGCCTGGATGGTTTCGCATTATCTTTGCTGACAAGACCCATCGACTACAGTTAGGTGAGTAATGTTTTCTTCTCCTCTTTCCCCTCCTGCCAGAATTTCTGCAAAACTATTTCCTCCTCTCCTTAATCCTAAGCTGTCCTGTTATTATTATCCTCTTTTCTTCTCTGTTCTTCTTTACTTTCCTCTGCTCCTTCAAGTTTTTCTGGACCTGACAGGGATTTGGGGACCCTTGTGACTTAATCTAATTCATTAGTGTTTCTCCTCCTTATACCATACAGGTATGCAGCGGATCCGCAAAGTTTTGGAAGAACGGGAGCAGGAGATCTTGGCTGAGGAAAAGGAACAGCCTTGTCAGTCAGACCAGGATGGCAAAGCAGATAGCACAGATGAAGTCATTTTTGTATCCCGCCACCAGGAGCCTACTTGTGCTGGTAGCTCCAACCTTGGTGACCTCATTGGCCTCCTGCAACAACAGATGCGTTCATCTGACTGGCTACAGAAAAATACGGCAGAGCAGTTTGCACAGGAAAAGCCAGAGATCTACGATGTGTTCAGCAAACTGGTGGGAAAACAGTAGGGCCCAGTGTGCCCTCAGGGGGCTTTCCTGAGCAGTGACTGACCCTGGGCCCTTAGCTCAGCACTGACGTCCAGCAAATAATATATTTTCTGTATAGCAAGAAAATTACTTTGTAAAACCCATCCTGTAGCCCGTTTGAGATCTCTAATTTGTACTATATAGGCGCTTTCCTTGAATTGCGGTGAGGATATGGAGTGATGGGGGTCTTGTTCGCCTCTTGCCCCCGTCCTGCTGCATCATTGTATTTTGTATTTCATTTCTAATGAATATGCTCTTAACTCTCTTATAAGGTCCCGTGGTGTCATTTTTTAATGCTGCTTCTTAATTTCATTCTTTCCAGGAAGACAAAGACGTGAGACTATTAAAATGTTTTATGTTTTTCTTTTTCTGAATGATGATCAGAAGTAACTAATTATTTCAGTGCCAGAAGATGACTGCTTTCTCACAGAGATGTTTTTGATAGCTAGAATCCAGTGTCAGCCCTGACTTAGCCCCAGCTAAGGGTAAATAAGCATGTATACATATTCAAATGCATGGGTGAGACTCTTAGAGCTGTGATTGTTTAATCTGAGTTCTATAAAGCTTTTCATTTTGAGCTCACTGGTTTCCATTCTGATCTGAGATGGGATAGGATCTAACACCTTTGGTTGGTAAAATGCTGGAATTGTTTCTATCCTTCTTTTTGTATTCATATAAATAAACAACCTCTGATAGCTTCTTGACCCGCTGTGTCCACAAAAGAGCTAATAACAGAGAGGTGACTGAAAGCAGACATTCTTTCTACAGCCTTCCTCCTCGTAAAAATTTGTTTCTTCTGGTTGGCAGTGAGAGGTATATTGGTAGGACAGTGCAGAGAATGCTTCTTGTGCCATGGTGCTAGATGTACCTACTCTAAGTTCGCAGGTTTTTACAGCTTCCAAGATGGCAGCTTTCACCACAATCAGGGTGATGAAAGCAAATGTTTACCTGGCCATTATGTTTGCCAATTTGCAGGGTAATTTTTTTGATTAAGCAAGATTCTTCAGTTTCATTTCTTCTCTTTTCTTTTTTTTTTTTCTTTTTCTTACAGGAAATAGGAGTGCCTATTTCCTGTAGGATGGTGATAAATTATTTTAATTGGAAAGCCTCTTTCACTGATATAAAGCTGTTTAGTTTCTGGTATGTTCAAATATTTTGTGTATTTTAAAGGAAGTGAAACAATTTTTTCTGCGTGCCTATTAATCCAGAGGCCAATGAAACCGATCATGAAAGGTGAATATAAGTGTGCCTTTCTCCTCTTGCACGGTGCTGGCAGTACTTCTAATAGTAATCAAGTTGTGTTTCATCTTGGTGGCATTTATAGAATGTGTTTAAATAATGAGTTAGGGAGATGATAAAATTCAGATTAAATTCTATATTATCAAAACAGTTGGAATTTGCTGGTCACAAGTGAAAAACTATCTTCTACTTTTCCGATCAAATCTCCAACATGAAAGGCAGGAAAAAAAGTCCTCAGGTCCATGAGATACATGGATCCCGCTTAGATTTCTTCTCTCTATAGATCATATGGGTGAAGGGCAGTACCGAGGGTCAACAGAAAAATCACATAATTGTTTGGTTCAATCTTCAAGTAAAACAGCTTTACAATTATTTTGTGAGACAGGATGTCAGTGGTTAATGTCAGTGTTTTTTTTTTTCTTCGGTATGGTAGATTTGAGCGTGAAGGCTTGCCATAATGAGTGACAAAAGCACGTGTCATATGTCATAATCCAAATTACTATGGCATAGGTAGCAAATAAGTAATGCAACATGCTTATGAGCCGACTGCACTTTAATGATTAACAGTGGAGAGTTGCATGGACCACGGGGATGGAATGTCATATCAGTCATGCAGACTATGGAGAAGATAGTGCTGTACCTGGCAGCTGTCAATCAGTCCATCTCCCAGACACCACTAGTAAGTGGCAAGTTTGGTGAGATTATTGGTAAGATGAGTATGGGGATAGTTTGTACTTGCTCTTGAGCATCATAAAGAAAGCTGTAGCACAAGACAGGTCTCCTTAAGGGAGTGGGAAGTGAAATGTGCAGCAAAAGTACAAATGGACTTCCAGGTTTGCCCCTCATTTTTATATATCCCAGGCAGTGTCTGAGTAACAAAAATTTAGGGAGATAGCTGTCTGAAATGAAGGACAAGGAAAGACTTTACAGGTGTTAGTTGAAACTGTATTTTAGGGGATTCTTGTAACAAAATTAATTCATTAATTACTGTTAATTTTCTCTTCTTCTGGTGTTCTAGCCATTTCGTAGGGTTGGAGTACGTTAAGACACAACTTTCACATGTTTTGTTTTTCCCGTATAGATATTTACTGTTCAGAAAGCAGGTTTATCGTACTATGTTTGTGCAGTGCCTAGTAAAACACACCTTTGTAGGAAAGAGGGTGCGGTAGATTTTCAAAATCCTCATAGCTAACATAATATGGCCCAAAGTCACTTCCATCTGGGTTTACTGTAGCTAAAAATAAAAAGAAGACAGAAACACACTTTGCTGCATAGGATATTTTCCATGGTTTTTCTTTTCAGGTTTAATACCTGTCTGAGAAGCTCCCATTGGGGAGAGAATGTTAGTCTGAACATAGAAACTCAAAATATAACTGGAAACTGAGTTTGGAAAGACATGTGATATTGTGAGTCTGCTATTGGAATAGACATGGTTCGTTTTGGTTGTACAAAAGCCGTACATTTGGAAAATGGCCTTTACTGGTTAAAGTAAGCAATTAGAAAGTTCTGGGTATATCTACTTGGGTGTTAAATTAATTGTTATTTGCTGAAAGAATATGCTGACACACAAAAGCTTCCATTCAATGGAACCTATGCAGGGGTTCTCTGTCCAGGAGGTTTGCAGGGGGCATTATCCTCCCCAGTGCTCTACCTGTAAAAATTTTTCATTTCCTTTACTACTTCCGTGTCAGATGTTCTCTATGCTCACTATTTCTCATCATTATTATTAATGTTCTTTCTGATTTTGTGGCAAATCTCTATAAAACAATTGATTGAGAAGATTGATAGAGAAGATATGATTGAGGATTGTGTTCCCCCTGCATTTCTTTCTTTTTCCAGTTTGTCAAGCAACAGGCAAACAAAACAGTACCTGAAATGCTGAAACTGGCCAGGTGCATATTTTTTTAAAAAAAAATCTGCATTTCATCTAAAATGAGAAATGCTGTTGAGTTAACATTGTGCTTTCATTGCTTATGCCCCCTGTAATGAAACAAGTAGATGCTAAATTCCACTTTGCATAGAATTTTTGTTTTCACGTTATCATTCCTTTGAGCACAGAAAGCATCCTAGATCCTAAGCTGTGTCAATGAAATTATTTGTCCTTGCCAGAAAGCAGTTCCACTGTATCTCCCTCTCTGCCTCTCTCTCTCTGAGAAATGTTCAGTTTTCACCTCAGAGGTGAAAATTTCCTGTATAGCACAGCTTTCTGTCACAGAAACTTCTCTGTTCTATGCTTTAGGTCTAGCCTTAGTGTGTCCATGCTTGCGAGAACTCCGAATTAATAACCTGTGTTACATCACAGTTAAGTGAATGGCTTGGATTGGGCCCAGTCTAGCTAAGTATTTCTGAAAGATCATGTGTGCTGAAGGAGCAAATCTGTGAAGGTGCATTTTTGCAGAAATCGAATAGATTCCAAGCAAGATATCTGTAAGAGAAACTATTCACTAAAAACTTAATAATTCTCAATGCAATTAACTGAAGAAGGGCAGCTGCTCAAATATACTGTATATTTTTTCAAATAATTGCTGATACCTTAAAATATTCTCTGTCTGTATTAGAATGCGTACAATAGAGCCTTCTGTTAGGCTGCAGTGGCGGTGTGTGTGTGCGTGTGTGCGCGCGTGTGTTCTCCACCCCAGTTTGTTAAACCAGTCTTGGGGCCAAATTATCACTTGGGATATTGATAATTTGTCTGTATTCCTCCTTCAGTTACTTAGTTATGGAATTCCTTTGTCGCTCTTCTGCTGTTGGCAGAATAGTGATTAAATTTCATCACACAGATGGCTGCATTTCAGGGCTGGATAAAAAGCCTTCTTGGAGGAAGATCCATGAATCACACCCCAAACATTATGCATCTGAAGCATCAGGCATGCAAAATAGTAAAACTGTTTTCGCACTTTTCATTGCCTATGGAGCTATTTCTGTGAGATTGGGTCACCGAACAGAGCATTGTTTTGGTTATTTCTGAAACAGTTCAGCGCAAGAATAGCACAAGTATGGTAAACTACAACAATAAATGCCAAAATACGTGTATCTCATTTGAGAAAATCAGAGAGGCAAGACAGAGACGCTTATTCTTCACTGCAATTAATGCTTTTATTTATTACCAACTTATATAAAACGCTGGCAATTGACCAATGATAAGATCCTAGATTATCTGCAGCCAACAAATGTACTTTAGTCTGACCTAGTTATAAATACTCTATTTTTTTTGTCCTCAGTTTCCCAGGATTAGCTATTTTTAGCAAATAGCCAGTCGACCTTATCAGAATCAAGAATCAAAAATAGTCTGGAAAAACATTGCAAGGAAATGCTATTTTTAGCTGCTCTGTCTATTCCGTGCTGCTATCCAGCAAGGTCTGATTGCACAGCTCGTGCACGAGTGCTTAGTTATTCTAGGCAGATGCTTGTCATGACCTGTTCTGTCCCTGAATTCCTCAATGCAGAAAATCAGTTCAATTAATTAAAGATTAATTCATCTTCAAAACATGACATCTAAAGGCTTTAGGGATGAGGGAAAAGTGAACTGATAGAGCCCTTTTCTGTCACATTACAGTTTCTTTGAAGGTAGCGTTTGCCAAACTGAATCTCCTCATGCCTCACATCCTTCAGTGGGAGTTACAGCAGCAGGCCTCTGAAGTATATTACATTTCTTTTTCCTTTCAACTTGGGAAGGCAGTAGAGGACCTAGACAGACAAGCAGATTAGATTTTGTTGGCCTGCATCATCAGTCAGAAAACAGCCGCAGCAGAGGTGCGTGATGGACCAGCTCAAGAGTCTAAAACTGTTCAACTGGCTGCTAGATACAGTTTATTAGTCAGGCTAATTATAAGCTCAGATGATATCCATGAGGATATCATTTACCTGTAAGACATAAACTGAAATAATGGGGCAAGGTGATCTAGCTGATGATACAGTACCCTGCCTTGTCTTTTGCCGGATCCAAATTGTTTCACTTGGTCTGATATCTTGTATACTGGTATCACATGTTTCAGTGAACGCTCCATGATACACGCCAGTATCACATGTTTCAGAAGATAAATATGAGCTATGATTTTTAGTTATGCTATGCTATATGGTAACAATAGGGGGCTGGGTGTGTGGAAGAGGTCTCCAAGCCCTTGGTATTCCTATATGTCTGTTACAATTGTTTCCTCTTATTGTAGATGGCATTTTCAGAAGGTGCTGCCTCCTGTACTGACTGCATAAGGTACCCCATAATCGCACATGCAACTGCTCTGTGTGCAGGGAGATACTGAATGAGAAGGCTCCGTGATTGTTGCTTTCTGTTCTGTATCCTGATCACCCTAGCAGAAAGTACACGATGCTGTATGCGGCAGCAGGCAAATGTATGGCGTGATGTTAAACAGCTTAAAAATGAAATAATTCTCAGATGACTCCAAATGGGTCATATGAGGCAGGACATAAAAGGGCAAAGCAGAGGGAGAGGTAAAATATCTGATCTCTCATGTACATTTATAAAAATTGATAGCCTGTTATCCAGATGCTGATGAATATTTTTACAAGCTATAAATGGCAACCTGTAGTCCAAAAATAGATGCTGTGCTGCAGACTTGTCTGGCTCAGCTACATCACTAGAATACGAACAGACTCACTGATGTGGTTTCAGGGAAATCTCTATCAAAATAGACTATATTCTACATTTCTCTTGCTATTGTGAAATAAAATAGCTGAGGCTGCTTGCATTTCTTTCATTCTAAGCTCTTATTAAAACTGCATTGTTTCCTAGATTTTCCTACAGTGATGAAACTACCATCGAGCCTCCTTGAATGTTTGAGCTACAATTGATTTGATGCACTTTATTCTCCCTGGAAGAGCAGAGAGGCAGAGGAAGCGCCTGTGGGCACTGCATGGGCTGGAGCACGCTGCGCTCGGCAGCCCCGGCCCCCCCGGCTGCACGTGGACTATCCAGTGTCCTTGTCACACGACACGGCTGTGGTGTGTTGTGTGGCACCCCCCCCGCCCTTCCCTGGCTCAGTCGCATCCAGGCACCATTCACACACAGATGAGTCCCATTTCTGCAGAGATCAACGCGTTCATCCCAGCAGCCCGAACACGTGAATGGTGCCTCTTTCGATTCATACCAGTGGCAACAGTCAATTCACAATGAACACAGTTTATTTCAAATTATTAATGAAACTCCAGAAGGAGGATTACTGCTTCTGATTCATGAATGAGGCAACTGGCAGCAATTTCAAGCTGACAGGCTAGAAACAAAAACATTACATGCTCTAACAAACCCTGATAACTTGATTTAGGGATGAGGAAAAAGCCAGCACCAGCTCATCAAAGCTCAGAAGGGACAAAGGACGCTTCATTTTAAGATCTGTGAATCCTCTGTGTTGTTGGCTTTGAATGTTGCCAACAAGATGAAGAATTTAGCAGTGAACCTGAGAATATTATCTCACCTGCTATGTAATGTGCGTGAGAAGAAGTTGAGAGAAAGCACAGGAAACACTGCAGTGACAGTATTTCTCCTCTCACATGGGAGCACTGAGATGTCTCTGTGCATGCATGTGGAGAGCTTTGCAGAAAGTCGTTTATCCCAAGGGCAGTTAAAGTGAAAGAGAGCTAACCCACTGCTAACAGTCAAGGTTGCTTCAGGACACTATACCGTGAGAAAGAGAGAGAGAATCAGTTCAGAGGTTTAGAGCAGAATCTGATACCAAAAAAAATCCTTTCACAAATATGCACCACAGGGTAGTATGCCATTGCCTCAACACTGTGTATAAAATAAAAGCAAATTAAAATCAGTATCATAAAAACTGAAGAGAGAAAAAAACATTTAAGGCAAACAGGTTGACACTGTGAAATACAGATGATAAGATTCTTCTAAACATCCAAGAATAACAGGATAGGACCAGAGCTAGTCTCATCTCCCCATCCTATGTGCTGCGTGTCCCTGGCAGCACAATGTAGGTAGCAGAGTGGAGATCCTCCTGGCCCCAAGCTCATGCGGTTGAGGGGGTCGCAGTAGGATAAGTTAGCATGGAAGACTGTCATGAAGGTCTCGTAGCTCTGGGGCTACTGCAGTTTTCCTCGGAGACCTGGGGTTTTACCAAAAAAAAAAGGACTTGCTCTTCAACCAGTCCTTATCTGTCCTTGGACTGGCAGAAGATGAAAGCCAGTAAGTGGATGAGAACTGTGTACTCCTACAGACAGGAGATATGAAGTAATCGTTGCTTCTACCTCAGTGTGACTGAGTACAGCCAGGTCCTCTGCTGGAATCAGCCCAGGGAACAGGAAAGGTAAAGAACGTAGGTGCCATGCACAGGGATGCTGCACCTCTATGCAAAAGGATCTGCTCTGTGCAGAATGCATAGGCAGGCTGTAGTATCATATGTTCATATTTTTTTGCAAAGGATCAGTTCACCTGTAGAACAAGTTGCCTCCCAGCACCATTTTGGAAAAAAAAACCAATGTCTGTTACTCTGGCATAGCTAGACTTTTGTGTAACAAATTTATTTATCTGTTTGCATTAGGTCAATCATCTGTCAAGAGAGGGGTTGGTTCAAGCTGCTCTTGAGAATGGTTTGGGAAGGTTTCTTTCATTGAAGCAGTGTGATCCAACAGGTTGGGAAGCGACATGCCGTCCAAGCATGCTTTCTGAGCCAGCTGGTCAGTAAGAAAGCACAAAATAATATGCAAAAGGTGCAGAAAAGACCTGAATGTGAGCAGTGAATGCAAATGTATTGAAAAACAGGGTGGTGGCACCTCTTTGGTACACGTTTATATACCCAACTCACTAAACCGGGCGAGTAGACTCCTTTGTGGGAGAGGCTGGCCCGACTGCTGGAACTGGGCAGGAGCCCAGGAAGCTTCAGTCTCCAGGGGGCTTAATGTAGCACATTTTAGTGGAACAAAAGTCACCTGCAGTCCAGAAAGCTCCACAAAGCGTAGAATAGATTGTGGAGGCATTTCCCCCGTGTCTTTCAGCCACTTTTTTCTAAACCAAAAAGATTATGGAGATGTGCTGGCCACTGCTATGGGGAAGCAGAGAGATTACAATGCGGTTGTTGTTACACACACCAGTGTAACAGCTGCGGCTGTCTAGGAATAAAAGTGAAGTAGGCGAGAGCATGGCATTTAGCAGAAAATATTTGTAGTTTGAAAAACGCATGCTTTTCTTTGGGTGGCTCAGATCTCTCAGCACTGATAGCTACCCTGGTGGAGACTGTAGGAGCGCGGGCGGGATACCAACCCTGCGGAAGCAAAGGCCCTTCCCAGGGAGTGACAGGCCCTTGCCCGCTGCTGGTACTGCCGGGGGAAAAATACTTCAACAGGGAAGATAGCCCTTGGAAATATCTGCCGGCGGGCGCGCTGCATCGCCTCCCAGAGCAGCTCTTGTGGCTGCCTCAAAGCTCGTAGCATAAAAACACGTGTGGTGTCTCTGAGGTGGGACGTGTCAGGGAGAGGGACGGGTTTGCGCCCAGCCGTGTAAAGACGCACACGCTTTCGGGGCCAGGGCACTGTTTCGCGGGGGGCACAAAGGAACTGCGGCGCCGACCGTGCAGGCGAAAACCGTAGGTAACTTCAACAGAGGATTAAAGAGCTGAGGGGAGAGGGTGAGGAGCACGCTTCTGGGCGTCCCTGGCTACCGCGCACGACAGCGCGGCCGCTTCTTCTGCCTCGAGAAAC